ATCTGCAATTAAGTCTTAGCTGGTGTGCTACTTAAGAAGGCAAATAAGATAAAATCAACAAATATTGCATAAAAAAAACGATAGTTTTAGAGCCAACTACTCTAAACCTGTCTCCGGTCCATCCCTAATTGTATTTGTTTCAAACTGTCTTTAATCAAATATCAAAAAGTTTATTTATCAAATCAGCTGGAACAAACACAAAGAGATTTTTCAGCAAACACACTTAGTCGTTTCGTTCGTTAACACGCACAGCATTATCCCCTGTTGTCATCTGTGTGTTGGATGACAGATTACGTTTTGGTAAACTTTAGCATAGACTCTAACTCCAATTCCACAGAACAAGCCGAGAGGTGTTAGCCCGTTAACCACTGACTAGTATCGAGTTTCTCCTTACTGTATCACTGCTAAATCAAACGTTATGACCATGAGAACAAAGGAAATGATCGTCAACTTAAGGAGCTCTTGATTATCAGGCAAATTCTCCTCGTTATAACCATGAGGAAAGTATAGAGAACGGTATGGAGTATATGCATACTGGCTCAGGAAGCAACCATCTTTGAAAAGAATGGCAGCAAACTTGGCCTAACTGTGCACGATCATCAAGCGACTATTTAGATAGAGACAGCTGATTGCCTTAAACTGCATTTACAGATAAAAAGACACTCAGAAAAGCAAACAAATAAATTCAATCCGTTTGAGCTCAATTAAAGTGCTCCAGCTGTGTTTGACTTATCCTACTCACTTAATGAACTGTTAACAGCTTATGGACGATCTTCAACTAAAAGCTAAGTGGCTTTGCAAAGTATAAAAGAGGCCCAAGAAGACTCAGCCACACAGCAGAAATCTGCTAAAGAAGAGGATTTTACGACGAAGAGTGCCGAGGTAAGTTTTGAATGGCTTTACACGATTTTGAATTGCCAAAGTGAGTGTCTTTGATGGACCCTTCTTATTCAAGTAAAATGGCTTGCATTGAACCTTAAAACCCTTGAGGTCGATTTCATTACCCACATCATTTATTTGCTTCTTTACGATATTTTAAAAAAATATTGTATGGCATTACATATTATAAGAGGCAAGGAGACCCAGGAAGCCATCGGGCTTATGGGAGACGTCACCTCACTTAAAACAATATATTGAAAAAAGAATAAGTGCAGAGAATGCGTGACTTGGCCAATTCAGTGATTATTTAAGTAAAAACTCTTGCATTTTCGTCTTAAAGGTAAGAAGAATTGACGAGCAAGTGACTGACTGAGCTCCGACTTTTAGGACGTTGAGAATAGAAAATTGCTTGAGACTATTCGACGTAAATGTATTCGATACCATAGCAGTGAATTTTACAATTGCTAACGAAACACCTTCGCTTTACGTCGGAAATACCGAGCTGTTGTATGTAAGGAAGTATACATCATTTGTACTCTGCAGGCCGCTAACATATGTTTCAATTAATTTCAGGAGACCTAAGACTGCAAAATGGCAATTAAGAAGACATTGTGCTTCATCTTGGTTGTGCTTGCCTTGACATGTCCGGATGAGATCACTGGAGGTATTTATCAATACGGTTTAAATTACATTTCCTTGTTTGAAAAGTAACAATCTCTTCTCATTAAGAACTTTTATTTCCCGGACGCAAATTTTCAACGATTCGTTCCACTGTATCTTTGGAATCAAATTTATTCAGATCACTAGTGCTTTTGAATCATCTTACTGAGAGGATTCGATATAAATTTAGTAAAAGCGTGAAATGAATTTAAGTCATGAACTGCCGGCTTGGAAGAGAACTATCCTTAGAGATTCCATTTGGTCTTTGGTGAAGTCTTTTTTGCCAACCAACTAGTCGAAGAAAAAATAAACGAAATTGTCTGCCATTCGATTTTTTAAAAAGGCCAAAATAGTAGAATCACTTCTTTCTTTAAATAGAAAAAACTGAAAAGATATATTAACAATGGCACATACTTAAGATTTCACTCATGTAGATGACCAAGACAAAAGATTTATCTATTAATCTTTAATACTTATTTATGATTTAGTACCCTCTAGCTTTGATTGTTCCTCCTCAGATAATTCTATAAAAGCAAATGGATCTCCCGTGTGTTTTGGTGCGAGAGATACACAAATGGGAAAGTTTAAAGTTCCCGTGGATGGCAAAATGGGAGGCGTGAGGCTGGTCCACCTGTACGGCTACGTGTCTTGTCACACGGCAGACCCCAAAAATTGGTCACCTTGGGGCTGTGGTTATGGAGTGAACCAGGAGATCAACGCTGTCATAACCGATGACAAAAATCAACTTCTTTTGCCTCCTGCGGAGTTCCTGAGCAGCAAGTACCCACAAGGAAAATGGCACAAAATTCCAGGTTACAACTCCATGAGCCCTGTCATTGAGCTAAAAAGGTTTAAAGATCCCCTTAATGTGAGGGCTGGCCATGAGCTACGACTGTGGTACGGTGAAGATTTGACCTACTATACCGAGGGTGACAACGGGGGAAGAACCTGCGCTGACGTTTTCATCCTGTACGTCTGAGATGGAATATTCCAGTTTTAGAAGATTTGCTTAGAAGAAGAACCTGTAATAAGGTTAAGAAGAAATAAACCGAGGGTTTTAAAGGGAAAGCTGCTCTGTCTCTTTGAAGTTTATAACACATGCACAGCTTTGTTCCACTCTTCCTCCTCTCTAAAAACATATCTCGACACATTTGAAGTCCCTTGTTACTTGTTTCCCTCAACGCCTCGAAGTATCGTGATAATCTCACTTGGCAGAACAGCCTACACTTTACTGTAAACCTTAAACGGGCAAATGAAACACACAAACTCCATAAAGGCCTACGAACACTTCAAATAAATGACACAATAAATTAAGAGAACGATAAAAAAAAAATTGAAAAGAAAAAATGGCAAAGAAAAATGGAAAAGAAAAAATGGAAAAGAAAAAATGGAAAAGAAAAAATGATAAAAGTAAAACAAGCTGTAAAATTTATATATTTATATTTTTTTAAAACTTTGGCATTTTGAGCTAAGCGTCGCAGTTATATAATACTTCTCAATTTCAAAGTAGTTGTAATTGTTATAGCAATACAGAATTTCGTAAGTGGTTGAGTGTACTTATAAAAAGCGCAGTTTCAAGCTAATCTACGGTTCACTGCTGTTTAAAAAAATAATCAAACCACGCCAGCATTACTTACTTGACTGATTATAAAGTCAAGGCGGTCAGTAATTAAATGAAACAGGAATCTAGTCTTTAGATATGCACTTGTTCCTTGACGCAAGTCAGGTTTTGGATGAACTTTAAATGCTGCCAATCTTCACTCGTTCTCTTTCGTGTTTAGATTAGCACGTTTTGACCAACATGAAGGAATTTGATGGCCTTTTCATTCAAACCTTGTGACGGACAATATC